GGGAGAGCCACACACAGAATGATGAAGCAGCTTTCATCATTCAACGAACCTGAAAGTGTTTATATGTATTTCCCAGAATGATGTGCCAGTAAAAGCCCCAAGATCAGCTAGATTTCTAATCGTGACAAAAGCACATGAAGCACAAACATGGGGGCTTACCTTGTTGGTTTCACTGGTCCCCTCTGTGGCTCCTTCGTCTCCTGTCTTGCTCTCTCTCTTCTCCTGAAGGTTTTCATTCTCATCCAGAAGTTTAACGGGGACAGGTGGTGGGGCTTCCTCTTCCAGATCGCATGAATTTCCAAGAACAGTCTCTGCATTAACACTCTGTCGACATTTTTTGTTTCTGTCCACTGAGGCATACTCAGCAAAGTCTGCTTGGGGGGCTTGAGGCCCCGGAAGCTCTTTCAAAGCGGAAGTTGACTTTGACCTGCTGCCATGGCCTTTCCCTGGGTTCACAGCTGCCGCCACCTCCTTAATTTCTTTCACAGTTTCATACAAGCAGTCCTCCACCATATTTTCTTGGGAGGAACTATCCTTGAGTACTTCGTATGGCCCTTCCGTCCCCAGGCCCTGGTCCCCATCCACGGCTCTCGCATTGAGCATCATGTCCACGGCGCTGTCAGGAGGAATTCTGGGCAGTTCCCGGCTCTGATGACATTTTGGCTTCCCCGAGCTGTCCTGGGAGTCCAGCAGATCTGAAGCTGAGGTCTGGACTTCCTCATAATGTTGCATGCAGGTCAGAGTACTGTCTTCTGAAAGAACTAAGGCAGCAGAAGTATTAAAAATGAGGAAAGACAATTCTTTAAATAATTATTACAGTGAATTGGATAATGCAAGGTTAGGTTAAATCAAGGTGCTTTTTATTGGACTCTAAACTGCAAATTACAGATGGTATGATTGTTACTTGATATTCTTATTTCAACCACAGTTGAAACTAAAACCAGCTATTACATCTTCCTAATACAATATTTAATAAGTTGTCTTGGCTATTAATTTGGTTCACAGTTACTTTCATTGCTTATTGGTGGGACTCTGGTAGGCAGAGTGCCTAACGTGACCAGAGGAAGAAAGTGATATTCCCTGGAGCCAGACCGTGAGTGGCTGGGCACCAAAATGGGGGGCATGTATGGTGGCCACCTTCCCTGGCCTTACCGGCCTCCTCCCGTTTGGAGGGAATAACTGGAAACCATTCCCTTTCAGTGGTCACTTTTGTTTGACAGACACGATGGAAACAAGGGGGCAAAAATGTGCCCTAAACCAGTGTAACAAAGGGACTGCACGCCTGTGCCTCTTCCTTCCATCTCACTGCCCTTCCCCCTACCATTTCTACCTCAAATTAGAAAATCCAAATGTGAAATCCTTCGATTTGCACAGAAATGTTACTGTGTGAAACCATTCAGTCATGTTTTCTGAGTGCCTACTGTGTGCCAGAGATGGTTGGAGTACATCAACAAAGCCAGCCCCGCCCTTCTGATACCTACATTGTAGTGAACAAGTTATTAAATTACTGTTGCTCTATTATATGTTCTTTATATACTATCTATTCTTCATGTGTAAGCATAAAAAGTATAAGTATATACGAATAAATGTGTACTAAAATAGGTATATTTATATCATACGTTTATCTTACATGCTCCTTATATAATATATAGTTCTTATATACGATATATAGTCTTTACATATGTACGTATGTGTGTGTTTATAACTTATGAGTTTTGACCTTTATGGACTAGACTGGGATTCTCTGAGACCCCTGCAGCCCAGGACAGTGTCTGACACAACGGCAGGTACCACCCTAGGTTTACTTACTCATCACAGAGGGGTTGAACTTCTGCCCTCTGGCCCCAGACATGTGTCATGGTGGTCAGAGAACAAGCACTGGAGTCTGCAGATTCTGGGGTAGATACTGCCCCCCGCCCCCCCCCCGAGTTTCCTTAGCAGGACACGGGGTACAGGACAACCTCCTACCTCAGGTGAAAGCACTTTGTAAACTGGACAGTGTGAAGCAAGTGTAGTTGCTATTTTTGTCAGGGACAGCACTCCGTGCGTGCAACAGGTGGTGTGCAGAGTGGATCCAGAGGTGTGCCCAGCACTCAGATTACAGATCGTCAGCACACTGACTGTGATCTCAGGCAAATTATCAGCCTCTCCATGGCGAGCAGAATTATGGCCTCCAAAAGGTGTCCATGTCCTACCCTCTGGAACCTGTGGATGTGTGTGTTATGCTACGTGGCCAGGGAGGAATTAAGGATACAGGTGAACTATCAGCTGACCCTGAGAAGGAGAGTAGCCTGGGTCACCCAGGTGGGCCCAACGTAATCATGAGAGTCTTTTTTTTTTTTTTAATGTTTATTCATTTTTGAGAGAGAGTAGGGGAGAGGGGAGAGAGAGAGGATCTAAAGCGGGTTCTGAGCTGTCAGCACAGAGCCTGATGTAGGGCTCTAACTCATGAGCCGTGAGATCATGACCTGAGCTGAAGTCAGATGCTGAACCAACTGAGCCACCCAGGCGCCCCAAGAGTCCCTTTAAGTGACAGAGTGGGGCAAGAGAGTTGGGGACAGGTGTAAAGATGGAGGGAAAGGCTAGGAATCAAGAAATGCAGGCAGCCTCTAGGAGCTGAAACAGGTAAGGGAACAGATTCACCCCTAGAGCCTCCAGGAAGAAGTGCCTTTCTGCTGGTACTTTAAAGCCGTAAGTTAATACATTTCAGTTGTTCTAAGGCACTAAGTTTGTGGTGATCTGTCGAAGCAGCAATGTGCTGCGGTTTCTTCACCTCTAAGCTGTGGACAGTAACAACAGCTATCTTACAGGGAGTGAGAATATTAATATCAGTAATCTTATAGTAGTTGTATGGATGAGTTAGTATACAAACAGATCTTAGAGCAATGGCACAGAGAAACCAATTAATAAATACTAGCTTTTCATCCAAATGAGAGGACATTCACTAAAACTGGTAGAATACCAAGAGTGGGCAAGAACACATTTGCTAATTTTTGAGCTACGTTTTTTGAAATGTGATGGGGTCTGCATGGAAAGCTCGTATTTTTGCATAACTTACTGTCCCCATTGGTGAGTATTCCGTTCTGTTCACTGCTGGCAGGTGCATCTGTGGCCAGGCTAGTTATTGAGCGGCTGAACATCTCCTTGTCAGAAGGCTGCAAAACAAACATACCACATGAACAATCAGACTGCGGGCAGAGGAGAGTGGCCATGGCTTTTTCTAAAAATTAAAACCGCAGCAACAAAAACCCAAATCCACTTAAACTAAGTGAAATTAAACAAAATTGAATTGCTAGTCACACTTTGAATGCTCATCAGCTACGGGTGGCTAGTGGTTACTGCAGATCAGGTACAGAACACTTCCATCACAGTGGAAAGCTCTATTGGACAGAATTGTTCTAGAATCTTCGGGGCACTGGGAATCTTCAAGACCATTTACAGAGCTTTCCACCTGGGGTCTTCAACTGGGCTACAGGTAGGTCATGAGGGATCAGTCCCCTTAGCTTAAGGTGAGAAGGTGGCCAAAAGGCCCAGTGCTGGTCAGAACTGACCCCAGCAGAAAGCAGCCGCATCCTTCCTTATACCACAGGCTCTGTAAAATGCTGTTTTTTTTAAAAAAATTTAATTTTAGGGGCGCCTGCATGGCTCAGTTGGATAAACGTCTGACTTTGGCTCAGGTCATGATCTCGCGGTTCGTGTTTGAGCTCCACGTCGGGCTCTGTGCTGACAGTTCAGATCCTGGAGCCTGCTTTGGATTCTTTGTCTCCCTCTCTCTGCCCCTGTCCTGCTTGTGTTCTCTCTTTCTCAAAAGGAAATAAACATTAAAAAAATTAAAAACATTT